GGGCGGGCGCGGGCTGAGCCCGGGAAGGGGGTGCGGACCCGGAACCGGTGGCCGGCGGCTCCCCCGGGTCCTAGCACCCCAGCGCTAGGCTCCAGGGGCCGCAAGTGGCCTCGCCGACCCCAAAGCCAGTGAGGCTCGGACACGCCCCGCTGGGCCGCGTTTGCAGGGAGAGGCCTGGGCCGCCGGAGTCCTGGAGCGGGGGCTGGGCAGGCAGCCCCCGCAAAGACAGCACCCCCATCCCCGGGTGGGCAGTGGCTGCCCTGGGCAGCTGCCCGGCCCCAGGCCCCCGCCCTGGGGACAAGGCCGTAACTTGCCCGAGTCCTGGGGTTCCTGGCCCCTTCCCCCTGGCGGTCCCCCAGGACACCCCTGGCCACCCTCCTCCCAGGCTAGAGACCCCTAGCCTGGTGAGGCCTGAGGCCTCCACGCTGACCGGGCAGACTCGCCCCACCTGCCCCTCCAGGGCCCTCCAAGCCCCCTCGCCCACCTGGCAGGCCTGGACCCCGCAGGCCCCTCCCCGCCCACACCCTGCCCTGCAGGCTGTGGACCGTGTCCAGCCCACCCAAGACACCAGGCCTACTGGCCGGCCCTGCACCCCCCAGCGCCTGCACCCTCCTGGCCAGAGGAGCCTGGCCGGCGCCGTGGGGGCTGGAGGCGTGGGCCGGCTGCTCAGTGGAGGTGACCGTCCTGGCCTCACGGTCCACGTGTGTGCGGGGTGCTGGGGGCGTCTGCAGGGGCGTGTGTCCGGTGTCTGGGTGCTGCTCGACTCCCGTGGGAGTGTCCAGGCCTGACCGGTGAGACTGCAGGGCTCCCTGGCCGCCAGCTCACCTGCCCTCGGGCGCCGGTGTCACCTGGCCGGGAGGGGCTTGGCGGGCCTGCTGCTGCCGCCCGAGGGCGCTGACGGCCACTGGGTGCCGCATGAGCCTGCCCTGCCCCAGGTGCGGCCACGCCCCCCAGCCCGACCACGGCAGCAGAGGGTGCCCCGGGCAGCGGGAGGGAGGCACCCCCCCCCCATGAGCACCGGCCTGCCCAGTCAGCATGAGCGCCCGAGGGCCCTTGCCTTCACCCCCGCCCAGGCTCAGTGACCGAAAGAAGTCCCACAGGCCCACTTCCCCCCACTGGGGTGCAGCCCTCCGTGGCCATTAACAGTGGACTCCTGGCGGCCCAAGGGTTAAGTCTCAGGGCTGTCACCGCTCGAGTCCTTGCAGGCCGGCCCGAGGGCAGCCCGCTGAGGGAGTGGACCCGCCCGTCCTGCTCCCCACTCTGTCTCTGGGGTGTCCTCTCACCCCACACCCTGCCTGCACCCAGCTCTGTATGCACGAATAAATAAATCTTTCAAAAGCCACATCTAGCAGAATGCAGCCGTGCAGAGCGAGGGTCCAGGACCCAGGAAAGCAAAATCAAAACTAAGCAGCTGTGCAGACCCAGACAGTTTGGAAGTCAGGCAGCTTCCCTCGCAATAAGGCAGAACAGAAGAGGGGCGTCAGGAGGATGGAAACGTAGTTTTGCATTGACTGAAAGTGAAAACAGCCCCAGAATTTCAGGGCCGCGGCAGGGCGGAGCGGGCAGGGACGGCGTCGAGCGGGAGCTTCACAGGCCTCGGTGGGACCCCCGGCCCGGGGGCTCCACGCCTTCCGTTTCAGCCCCCGTGGGAGCTCGGACACTGGCCGAGGCGGGGCCGCCCAGCGCTGGGCGGGCCGGGGGTCACGGGCGCCCCCCGGGACGGGCTCACGCCCTCTCCCCGCTGTGGGGCGCCCCCAGGCACGGAGCCCCCTCCCTCCACCGGGACGGGAGACACCGCCCGCCTGCCGTCCCCGGGACGGGCCCCTCTGTCCCCCTCCTTAGCCGCTGTCTGGCCGCTGGATTGGGCCCGAGCGGGAGATTCCAGAAGGTTCTGGTAGCGGCTCTCGCCTGTGCCGTCGCACCTGGCACCAGCCGAGCTGGCGGTGCTGTCCATTCTCCCGGCCCGGAGTGTCCTGGGCTCTCGCCACGGCGCAGGTCCCCCGTGGGGAGCGTGACCCGCTCCCGGTCCCCTGGGCTCCCCGGACCCTCCCCGCCTTCCAGCGCGCCCCAGTCCCCCCTTCGCTCCACGCAGGCCCCGCCCAGAGGGGCTCGGCCAGGGCAGTGGGCTGGGCGGGGGGCGGGGGGCTCGGGCTCGCTGGCCCTCCCTGGCCTTCCCCCGCAGGCATCCTGGCCACCAGGCTGCCCGCGGGCTGGTGTCCAGCTCCAGGAAGCCCAGCCCTGAAAGCTGGCTTGGAAGAGCCTGGCTGACCCTTCTCTGGCTTCCAGCGTCCCTGGTCTGTGGGGGGCAGCGGCCCCTGACCGCGTCTGTGTCCAGGGAGGTGGGGTCCTCAGTGGGCCCCCGGGAGGGGCCCTGGTCACGCCGCAGCTGCTGCTCCCTGGCCTCCCGCCCCCACTGCTGGGCCCCGGCTGGGCGGGGTGCAGGGCCAGGGGCATAGGACCCCGCTGGGGCACCGGGCTGGGTGCCTGGGATGGTCCGTCCACAGCTGCCTCCTGGGGTGCCCCGCCCCCGCCTGCGTGGTCCTGGGCCACGGGGTGGGGCTGCCAGGCCACCCTTTTGCCGCGCGCCGGAGGACACGGGGCTGCCAGGTGGCTTCTGTGGGAGGCCGGGCAGGCGGCTCGCCGGGGGGCCTGGGGTGGGGAGGGCCCCCCCGCCCCCCGCCCCCCGCCCCCACAGCCGGGCCAGCGGTGGGCCTGGACCCTCCTCTGCCCCACCGCCCCCCACCTTCCCTGTCGCCTTCCTCTGAGCTCAGCCCTGCGCCCCATCTGCTTCCCCCTTTCCTGTTTTCTGTCTGGCCCTTTCTGCCTGCAGCCCCCTGGGGGTTCTGGGGAAGGAGAGGAAATGGGGGCCCCACCGGAGGGGCGCGGCCTCTGCCCGCAGACGCAGGGCTCCACCTGGCTGGGCTGTGGTGTCAGGGCGGGGTCAGGGGTCCTGAGAGCATCAAGCTGCAGCTGACCGCGGTGCCCCCCGGCCAGGGCACAGCCCACCGGGCCCCTGCGCAGGTCCCTCTGAGCCGTGGCTGGCCAGGACCCCCGAGAGCCGCGCCCCGGGGCTGGGCTTGGCCCTGGAGCCAGGACAGGGCCCGGCAGCAGCCTCCTGGGGAGCAGCCGTGAGGTGCAGGAGAGGCCCGGGCCGGCCCACTCGGCCCGCAGCTGTGGCATCTCGCCCAGGCCAGCGTGGCGGCACCCTGGGGCCCCCCTGGGGCTCAGGGGTCCCACCCCGCACTGGTGCCTGAGGCCCGGAGGGCCAGCGCCTGCTGTCCACCCAGCGCTGGGGGTGACCCGCGCCACGGGCCGCCCTCACTGGGCCGGCAGGGTCAGGCCCTCGGCCTAAGGCGGCCAGCTGGGCGC